TTTGATATATAGGGAAAGGCTCAATAGGCTGGGGCTACTTTCCCTGGAGCATCCGAGGCTGAGGAGTGACTTTACAGAGGGTTATAAAATCATGAGGGACATGGATAGGGTAAACAGACAAGGTCCTTTCCCCAGGGTGGGGTAGTCCAAGACTAGAAGGCATAGATTTAAGGCGAGAGGGGAAAGATATAAAAGGGATCTAAGAGGCAACATTTTCACAGAGACAGTGATGCTTATATGGAATGAGCTGCCAAAGGAAGTGGAGGAGGCTGGTACAATTACAACATTTAGAAGCCATCTGGATGGGTATATGTATAGGAACAGTTTAGAAAGGTACGGGCCAAAAGCTGGCAAATGGGACTAGATTTATATAGCACCGAAGGGTCTGTTTCTGGGCGTATATCTCTACGACTTTCCGACCCTAACCTTCTGTCACCAAGTTGCCCATGTCTAGAATTGTGGGGAGGTCTGGACACGGGGCGCGCACCCAACCTCTCTACAGATGGGTGGGCTGTAAATTGAAATATTTCCATGAAGCTGCAATCCTCATTTTACTTGCTAGAGGGAGGAGAGGACAACTTTGGGGAAAAGCGGGAGTACTTTTACAGCACTGATTGTGGACCAGGAGGAGCTTCCCACTGCTTCAGTTTCCCAGTCTCTTCCATCGCACTCATCAAAGAAGCCTGGGATTGGGAATCCAGTCCCCAGGATTGAACACCCCACTCCTGGGTTCAGGGATTGATCTTTGCCAGGATCTCTCCAACATCAGGGATGAGATATTTATTGGAATTGGAGCCAGAGGTGATGAATCAGCCTGATCAGTACTTTTCCTTAAACCGCTCCTTCCCTTTCCTTATCCTCTTACCACTCACAATAAAGCTCAGAATAATGTGAATGGTAACAGTATACCCACATCCTTCCGTTTTGATTCACATCCTGTCTGTCTTGCATCAAAAATACTTTTCTGACGTTGCACTTGCGCAATGATTTTTTTGTTGTTCCTGTAGCCTGCTCCTAATTTCTCCCCAGTTGACTGGAAGCCAAACTGCCACATAAGCAGACTTTTCAGTCACAGAGCTGCCAAGATCAAAAGACAAAACACCGTGGATCACATGGCAATGATCTTGCCAACAATACCAGCTCCTGTTATTATATAGGCCATCAAGTTAAAGATATTGTGATTTGCAAGCACTTCTTGGCGTACATTATGATCTCCAGACTTTATGAAATCTCAAGGTTTGAAGTAAAACATGGACAAGGAAACCTCCTGTTGATTGCCATGTACCAGCCTCCCTCAGCTGATGAATTGGTACTCCTCCATGTTTAACAACACTCGGAGGAAGCACTGAAGGTGACAAGGGTGCAGAACGATACTGCAATGTCCACCACTAAGAGTGGCTTGGCAGCAATACTACTGATCGAGTTGGTCGGGTCCTAAAGGACATAGCTGCTAGACTCGGTATGTGGTAGTTGGCAAGGGAATCAACGAGAGGGAGCAACATATTTGACCTCAGCCTCATAAATCTGCCGATTGCAGATGCACTTGTCCATGACAACGTTGGAAACTGTGGCCACAGCATAGCCGTTGTGGAGGCGAAGTTCCACCTTCATACTGAGAATGCCTCACATCATGTTGTATGGCACTATCACCGCGCTAAATGGGGAAGACTTTTAGCTGATCTAGCAACTCAAGCCTAGGCATCCATAAGGCACATTGGACTATCAGCAGCAGCAAACTCATACTCCTATGCAATCTGCAACCTCATGGCTTGGCATATCTCCCACGCAACCATTACCATCAAGCCAGGGGATCAACCCTGGTTCAATGGAGGGTGCAGGAGGGCATGCCAGGTGCAGCACCAAGCATACCTAAAAATAAGGTGTCAACTTGGTGAAGATACCAAACAGGACTACTTGCATACCAAACAGCATAAGCAGCAAGTGATAGACAGAGCTCAGCATTTCCATAAACAATGGATCAGATTAAAGCTGTGCAGTACTGCCACATCTAGTCTTGAATGGTGGTAGACAATTAAACAACTCTGTGGAGTAGGCGGCCTCACAAATATCCCCCATCCTCAATGATGGAAGAGTCCAACACATCAGTGCAAAAGATAAGATTGCTGTTCATGCTTCAGCCAGAAGTGCCAAGTGGATGATTCATCTCCACCTCCTCCAGAAGTCGCCACCATTACAGACATCAGTCTTTAGTCAATTCAATTCACTCCACATGATAACAAGACACAGCTAGAAACACTGACAACATTCCTGCAATAATACTGAAGACTTGTGCTCCAGAACGTACAACACCCCTAGCCAAGTTGTTCCAGTAGTTACCTCACTGGCGTCTTTACAAAATGGAAAATTGCCCCAGGTATATGCATAAAAGCAGGAAAAATCCAACCCGGCCAATTACCACTTCATCAGTCTTCTCATCGGTAAAGTGATGGAAGGTGTCATCAACAGTGGTATCAATCAGCACCAGCTCAGTGACCCTTAGTTTGGATTCTGCCAAGGCCACTCAGCTCCTCACCTCATCACAGCCTTACGTTAAACATGGACAAAAGAGCTGAACTCCAAAGGTGAGGTGTGGGTGACTGTCCTTGACATCAAGGCTGCATTCGACTGAGTGTGGCATCAAGGAGCCCGAGCAAAACTGGAGTCAAAGTGAATCAGATGGAAACCTCTTTGTGGGTTAGAAACATACCTGGCACAAAGAAAGATACTTGCAGTTGCTGGAGGTCAGTCATCTCCAGGATATCTCTGCAGGCGTTCCTCGGGGTAGAGTCCTAGGCCCAACCATCTTCAGCCACTTCATCAATGATCTTCCCTCCATCATAAGGTCAGAAGTGGCTGTTCAGTAACTGCACACACCATTCAGCACTATTCACAACTCCTCAGATACTGAAACCCAGAAATGAATTAAAAAATCTTTTGCTCCGTGTGTGATCTTGTGTATTGCAATCACCTGGTCCTGGATGTTTGTCTTGTCTTGTCTTAAAATCTGATTCATCATTAACATCAAGACCATTAACCAACACAATACCACCTTGTGCAATTATACGGCTGAAAATCTTCATCATACTACCTTTGATAGCAAAGTCAAAAGCGTCCACAAAACTTCTCTCTGAATATATCGTTGGCGTCTCTTTTCTTACTTTTCCCCAATTTCAACTTATCTTTCTCCATAAAATATTCTGGGATATTTCAATTTTCCAAATACATGCTCAAAATAGGCTATCACTGTTCGTGGTTTCTTCAGTTTAGTTTGCCAAAAAGGAAGAAAGTAGAAATATCTGTTTCTTGTTAGTTATTACTGAAACAAGTTCACCTGCTTCCCTTGTTTCCAGAATTTAACACCAAATGTAGAAAAAAAAAGCTGGAATTTCAAACAAGGTTAGCAATAGGATAAAGAATTGCTGATTGTAAATTGACACGCTGAAGCTGTCAATTAAATACACCAAATATTTAAATTATTCTTTTAGGATTGAAGGAATGCCAGCCTTTGGTTCTGGATTCAATGGGTGAAACTGAGGAAGGTACATTTCATTAGTTGTTCAGAACATTAATGTTTCAAAAGGCTTTAGCAGTGAAACCACTGGGCAGTAATGGTGTCATCATCATAGTATACAGGTTGTTCTACATCTATTTCAGAGTGTGATACTGCGCGCTCCAAATAGGAATACAAATAATTGTATACAAGTTGTGACCAAAACAGGGCAAAGTAGACACAAACCTGCAAGAAGCATTATTTCATCCAAATTAATTCATTGTAGTTCAGAACAACTTTTTACCAGCCACAGACAGAAAGCTGCATGAACTTGCATTAATATAATGACTTCACTGTCAAATGATTGGAATTCTTGTGGTCAGTCAGTTACTTGTTTTTGAAAACTGGTTAGCTGATTTTTTGATCCATTATGGTTTTTACTTATATTTTCTATAAGAGGTATATTGCTGGAGGTCACAAATTAGACCAGCTTATTTGGGGCTAGATGGTTGCTACAGTGATATACTGAAACAGAAGCTGCAGCAAGCAATTTTAGCTCAGTGACCTCCTCCAGCAGCAGCTATATGCACACAGACCTGGTCCAGCAGCACGCACGCTGACCCACACCAGTAGCAGCAGCAGTGTGCACGCTGACCCTCTCCAGCAGCAGCAGCAGTG